CCTCCCAGCCTCTGTGGCGGCTTTTCCAGGCTGCCATAGCTTGCCAAAAGGTCCCCCAGGAGCGTCTGTTCTCGAGCAGACTGAATTAGCTGCCAGCGTGGCAAATGTCATGGGAAGACACACAGTAGGAATTTACCACATCTAGAGGTATAAGTTTCTGTGCAGGATTTTCTCTCCAAAGGAGCTGAAACGCTGCAGCCCGTGTAGTTAGCCACATCGGGACAGCTGCCCAGACCCTTTCTCCATTCCACTTCCAGACTCAGAGGTAAAATGATGCCCATCAACACCTGGAAACAATTGCTCAACCCCTGGCAAGTTCCTGGTATTTCACAGTTCAGCATTTCTGACATCAGGGTGAAGAGGCAAGATGCAGCCAGCTGTGTGGAGAACAAATGGGCATTTGAATGAAGAAACGGTTCAGGGGTGCTGCTAACGGGGGGAAGTGCTGCAACCCGATTTCCCGAGGTACCTCCTTCCCTGCAGAAGCAGATAATGGAGGATGTAAGTGGATGCTGTCACCGCCTTGGCCCAGGCAGGCAGAGGTTGATACTGGTCTGCAATCACAGTGAATGCTGTCCCCTGCAAAGGACAGGGAAATACACAATCCCTTCGAGCTCTGCTGCTGCAAGCCCTCCTGTTTGCTCAACATTCCTGTGACTGGAGGACACACCGCAGCATCCTCAGTGGTCACAACTGCACGAGGTGCTGCCCTAACGGCAGCAGCACCCACAGCTTGCAGTGGGTCTGTTTCTGGGGCAATCTTCACCTCTATTTTTGGAGTTTAGCACATTTAAGACAGCGAAGTGTTAGCACACACTTGACAAAGAACCTCAGAATAAAAGAAGGACTTGAAAACAGAGAGGTGCTCTGTCAGGCTGTCAAGTTCTTTATCACGTCAGTGTAACCCTCACAGCATCACTGCTATGTCGCAGGTCAGCAGCTGACGGCTCAGCAGTGGGTGCTGCTGTCTCACGGATGCTGTGAGGCTCTGCCCTGGACTGGCTGCTCAGGGGACACCCAGGCACATGGGGACAGAGCCTTCATGTCCTGCCAAACCTGCCTGAGCCTCCTCGTGCCATCCTTCCTCCTGCCTCCACCACAGGGCACAGGCATTCTGGTGTCCAGCCTTGGCTCTGCCTCTGGATTTCCCACATGTCCTTGTGCTTCTGATCTCGGTTTGTCCCTTCCTTACTGAGCTCCTGTTTTGACCTCCAGCCAGAGGAGAATCTGCAACCTGGCTGCCAATGCCACCTTCATAGCAAGACCCTCCGCCGGGCCAGGAAAGGGAAATCCCCAAAACTTTGTGATAGGAAAAGGCATTAGAGGCAGAACAATTTTGGGGGGGAAAAAAAAAAAATCGTCCTGTGTACCATATGCCCTCAGGAACCTTTCAGATCTTCCCCTCTGCCTTCCTGCAGCTACTCGGGTGGGAAAACAACAGTTTCATATGCCTGCTTCAAACTTGCACTTATTTTTCCTCCGAGGTACAGAACTTTGCCCTAATTAACACCCTCCTTTTGCTAACCGACAGTCCCTGAAGCTCAGCTCTTTATTGAACATTTTCCAGTTTGCTCCACATTCCGATTTTAATACCCTGCCCAGTCCTTCTGTTAAATGTAAACCAAATAGGAACAGTTTACATCAGCAGTGCCAGCCACAGCGCAGGGCAGCTTTGATTTTGTTCTTAATGAAGAAAGTCTTTGGAAAGCCTCTGAGAGTGCTGCATCGTGCTAGAAGTCGTGGCACGCAGCAGTAAGCTGATGTGTCTCATAATGTGCTGCCAGGAGCCCAGAGGAGGGTCCCCTGGACTGAAAGAGACATTATCATTTAATAGCAACAAACCACGCACCGAGGTCGTTGCTCTACCATTGTGTCCGGTCCTGGGTGAAACCAAGACATTAAGCAGATGTGCCACGTCCCTGGCCCGCTAGTTTAATTGTCTCCTAGCAGTTGGTACAGAATACAGTGCTTTGTATTTCATTACTTGAACTTCAGCAGGTCTCCCCAGTACTGGTTTCACGGTCCTCTGTGTAGATGAGTGCATCCTGCAGTCCCTGCCTTTCAGGAGGTCTGTTGTAGTGATTTCGCAGCTGCCTCCATTCCATCGGGATCTTCCTTGTCCCGCTTTCCCTTCTGTAGAGCAAGCTGACCGTCCCTCTCCGTCAATTAAAATGAAAAGGAGCGAGAGGACAAAAGGACACCGCTTCACTGAGCTGCGGCAGTGCTTTAATGAGCTATGGAAGTGCTGTGCCTCCTTCTCCCGGCGCTGGAGCCTGCAGCTGCACCCCGGCGCCAGCCATCAGATGCAATTAGCAGCATGCGGGCACACGGGTCGGGGGAGCGGGGCTGGGAGCTGCCGGGGCCCCGGGGACCGGTGGGGGAAGAGCCCGAAGAGCCCCGACCA